GGTCCTGACAAATCACTGAGCAAAACGCCAGTGGACCACCAGCTTTGCCATCAGCAGACCAACAGTCGCCCACTTTCCTCTTGCTATCAGGAACCCTGTAGAGAAAACAGTGCTGAGCTTGGATTTTAAGCGTTCCGTGTCGAACTGTGTCCATGTGGAAATTCCACTAGAGCGGTTACCCATCATGCTCAGAGGAAAAGAGGCCAGTGTCTTTGATTAAATAGTCCATATATCAAACATCAGCAGAGTGATGTATCAGTGACGTATCACTCCGCTGCAGACGGCGCTGGAGTTGTTTTCATGTATTCAGCCTGTTTTGCTCTTCGTCCTCAGGCACGTTAAAGAGAGGACGCTTTGCCGTCTGCGGCTTCAGGATTTACAAGCGAACTCTAAACTCTGAAGTGCTTCGGTTTCTAACTACTAACAGACACCGGGGGGCTTTTTTAAGATGCGGTTGTGGGTGGGATCATCTGGAAGCGTTTTTTGTTTAAAGGAGGCGTGTGAACGTGAAAAACTGCTGCTTAATAAAAGTGAACCCTTTCTTTTTTAATAACAGACGCTGATAAATTTGGCAGGCTGTTTTAACACTACTGTCTTTTGACACACTTGTATTTGCTTCAGAATGGGGACTTTTGTTTAGAATCTCTTCTGTGCTGCCAGAGTGACTCCTGGCGTCTGATGTAGCTGAACATCTCTGTAATGACTTTTAAAGTTAGTATATTTGATGTAAATCTATTTGAGTTAATAAAACGAGTTTAAAAGTACCTCTGCAGGTGTGTGGAATGAAGTCATTTTCTAGAAGTGTAGAAATGTTTGTAGAATATTGTGTATTTCTTTTAAGATGTTCTCCAGAGTCTTACTTCATTTGGTGTAATTACGTTGTTGAATTCAGAAGAAAGAAATTTAAGAGTATAAATTCTGAAATTTAGTGGTGATCTCTAAATCTCTCCACAGCGTTTTTCCTAAAAGATCAAATGTGTCTATTAGTTACCATGTAAATATTACTAAAGTATATTAGTATATATTAGTATATAAAGTATTATATTGTTGGTGAAATTAATCTTTGGACACTTTTCAGGTTTTCTTTGATAATTTAGCTGGAAAATCTGCCACACAGGACTGCAGCCTTAATAAATTGCTATATATAAATTATATAATAAAAAATCTGCTTAATTCAGTGGTTGAGATGTAAACATTCAGAGTACGATATTTAATGTTTTACCTTATGGACACTATTGTTTGCTTTTGAAATGTACACTTAGACCAAATTTGATGCCTGTAGCACTTTCCAAAGAGTTGGGACAGGAGCATGTTTACCACTGTATTACATCACCTTTCCTTTAAACAGCACTCAACAATCTTTGGGGACTGAAGACAGGAATTATTGAGTTATTCAAGTCTTCAGCTGTGCATCTATACATGACCTTCACTGTCATTTTGCACTTTCTAACGCACCACACGTTTTGAATGTGAGACAGTTCTGGACTGCAGGCAGGTCAGTCTATCACCTGCACTCTGATTAAGCAGCCGTGCTGCTGTAACACGTGCAGAATGTTTCTTGGTGTGTTATGTTGAAATAATCATGTACGTCCCTGAAAAAGACGTCATCTAAGAGGCAACATATGTTTCTCCAAAATGTGTTCAGTGTTAATGGTGCTTTCACAGATGTGCAGGTTACCTACTAATACCCCCCCCCACACACCATGACAGATGCTGGATTTTCAACTTTACACTGGTAACAATCTGGATGGTGCTTTTGTTCTTTGGCTCAAAGAACACAACGTCCATTATTTCCATAAACGATCTGAAAGGTTGACTCATCAGACCACAGTACACGTTTCCTCTGAGCTCAGTCCAATTCAGATGAGCTCGAGCCCAGAGAAGTCGGCGGCGTTTCTGGACGTTGTTGATAAAGGACTTCGGCTGTGTGAGCCCATGAGCTGATCTCCATAACAGAAACATGCTGTTTTTTACAAGCATTTAGTTGTCGTTTTTGGCCAGAGATTTTTCCGGATTCTCTGAATCTTTTGAAGACTTTTTACACTGTAGAGGGTAAAATACCTAAAATCCTTGCTAAAGCTTAGTAAAAAAGGTTGTTTTTAAACATTTCACAGCGTTCCTAGTCTTAAATTTGTCCTGTCCCAACTTTTTTGGAGTATGTTGCCGGCATCAGTTTCAGACCGAGCAAATATTTCCAAAAAACAATTAAGTTCAAAGATAAAACTTTAAACGTCTTTGTACTGTTTTATTTAAATACAGGTCAAAGTGGATTTATAAATCAGTGCTTTGTTTTTATTTCATTTTACCTGCTGTCCCAAGATTTTTGGAATTGGGTTTGTGTTTGAACTCCAGTAGAAATATAAATGCAGTGTTAATTTTGCTAAAGTACAAGGTTTGTGTACTTTGTCCACCACTGATAAAGTGATTTTAATGTGCTGCAGCCTGTTTTGATTTAGTAATGTGTACATCTGTCACTAGTAAATATGATTTAGTGATGAGTGCGGCTCAGCTTGGTAAACATCTGTTGTAATTAGTCCACAGTTATAGCTGGCGGAACCGGATATTGTCGTCTGTTTTTGGCATAAAACACCATCCAGTCAGTTTTACTGCAGCGCTGCTGTGCTTTTACTGTCACAGTGGATTCAGAACACACTGCAGAACCTTTTAATGATTTACAGCAGCAGAAATGTGGGTGTGTTTAAATAAACACACAGCCCTGCTGGATCAGCACCACAGCCAACACTGCATCTACTGTGACAGTACAGCCACATAGAGACATAGAGACCCTTCATTTAGACAATTTCCAATCAAAGTGGGCATTAAAAAATAAAGAAAACATTTATTTAACAATTATGCAGAATCCTCAGCAGCTAACTTTACTCTCAGCTGTGTGGGTCAGTGAGTCACTCTTCACCTTTATTCCAGCTTCCATTCTTCTCAGGAGACTCACTTTCAGCTCCTCAAAGAATCTGCAGACACGCCTCCAAAGTTCAGTCTTAGAAGCTGGTTGATCATTTTCTGAAGTAATCAAACACATTCAGTGGTGTTGAGGTCTGGACTCTGGGGTGGTCAGTCCATCGTTCAGCTTCTTTGTTTGATGTGTCCGTCTCCTTTTCTCAGTGAGGTTCTTCTTGATCAGCTACACATCCTTTCAGACCCACAGCGCTGAGTCGTCTTCTCACAGTGGAAGGATGGACAGAAACACCTGTGGATGTTTTCAGATCTGAAGCAGCTTGATTTTCTCCTCTCTCTCAGAGATGAAAGCTTTAAGTGCTGTTTATCTGATGGGGGCAGTTTTGGGTCGACCAGGTCTTCCAGGTGGTTGTTAGGAGCCCCATCTTCTCTGGAGCTTTTAAACAGTTTTTGAACTCCAGTTTTGGAAACTCCTGTTTTTTGGACTTTGTGCTACCTGATGCAATTTATCTTATATCTAATCTCAGAAATATTTCCAGAAAATCAATAACTTGTACCTAATGGCAGTTTTGACTGGAAATTAAATAAATGAAGGGGGTCAGTAAAGTATATACACCGGTCAGGCATAACATTATGACCACCTCCTTGTTTCTACACTCATTGTCCATTTTATCAGCTCCACTTACTATATAGGTGCACTTTGTAGTTCTACAGTTACAGACTGTAGTCCATCTATTTATATATGTTGTGTTTTGAAGCTGGTGGTCAGGCTGGGTGACCAGCTAAACCAGCAATAGACCAGCATAAACCAGCCTAGATCAATATGGAATGCAGGCTGGTCTATGCTGGTTTTTCAGAGGGGGGGAACTGAGTAAATTGATTTTCAACTAAATATTCATTGAAACGTGCTGTGAATCAAGTCCGGTGACCATGACAATCAGCTTGTAGACGTTTTCTTTTCAAACTTCTGTTTGCAATTTTAGCTTTTTAACAATATGCTGATCGGTCAGCTTCACTGGTCTCATAACATGATGTCAGTTGGTGGGCGGTCAGCTTCAACCACTTGTTAACATCGGCCTCATATGTGAAAATAAAGCAACGTTACCTTAATAACATGATGCTAACTGGTGAGGTTAGTCTCATTACAGGGATGTCAGTTGGTGACTGGTTACTACATCGGCTTCTTAGCTAAAGAAGCAAACTTCCTACACCAAACATGTTTTGGTTGATTGACTTCATTTGGGGGAAACTGTGTGAATCTGACTTTTCCTTTAATGCTGCTCACTAAAGGACTAACTCTAATAAGACAGTGAGCCACAGCCAGAGAACATGTAGAGAGGAGAATTTACACTCTGTAATGTGTTCCGGGTTTCTCAAACTCTAGAGGGCGCTCCCGAGTGAGTGCAAAATGAATGGGTTGATATGGAGCCTTTGAGCAAAATCATTGTTTATAAATGCTTAAACATTTTTAATGTAAAATAACACATTTATTTCCTGAACACAGAGCAGCATAAAACATTTTAACACTGCTGTTATATTTTTAAACTCGAGTTATAGGAGTTTAAAACGGCGCCTCATGTATGTTCATGACGTCAGTGAGCGCGAACAGCCAATGAGCTGCTCCGCTCGCCAACTAATCAGCACTCAGTAGCAGGAATGCTAAGCAATCAGCACTCAGTAGCAGCAATGCTAACCAATCAGCACTCAGTAGCAGCAATGCTAACCAATCAGCACTCAGTAGCAGTAATGCTAACCAATCAGCACTCAGTAGCAGCTGAAATTAAAGTTCTGGTTCAGTGATTAGAAACTATTTTAACTTTTCGTTTTTAGCTGTTTAGCTCCATTCACTCCCATTCACTGAGGACTCACTCGAGGGCGCCCTCTGCTGTTTAGCAGTCCTGTTTTTGATATAATGGGGGAAATAAGAAGTGGCCAGGCTCCTCATAAACCGGCTCTGCTACAGCCCAGCAGGAGAAACTTCATCACACAATTAAAGACAATAAAACACAGCTAAAGTGAATCTCAGTATCAGTGAAACTGCAGCAGTTAATCAAACAGCGGTAAATAAAGCCACTCACTCCACAGTCTCACTGTAACGCCTGAGAGATTTAATGCAGAAGCTGCAATACAATATTTTCACTTTAATTAGGAATGACTACAAAAATCCAGCCTGCCCTGCTGATCCACAGGTGCATCGTGGGAAATGTAGTTCCGGTCCCACTCGGCAGGGTACGGGTTTACACACACAAACAAAAAGTGTTTTCAGGTTCCCATGCCGACGATGACGTCACTCTTTGGTGGAGAGGTGTTCATATCTTCCCGGGGAACGTTCCATCATCTCGCTGCCCGTCCCACTTCTCAATCTAACACACACAGACACACACACACACACACACACACACACATACACACACACACACACACACACACACATACACACACCCACACACATACACACACACACACACATACACACACACACACACACACACACACAGAGGGGAAATTATTGAGCGCATATTTTAAGCAGCACTGTGTAAACAGAATTAAACACCTATTTATCTGGACAGTATGTGTTTATTTCCTCAGAAAAACACACAGTAGAATAAACACAAACACAAAAATACAATCAATCCCAATACCTAGTTTATCTAATCAATACTTCAGTACAAATCAGTAAAAATTAAATCAGCTGTGCTGCTGATGGTATTTATCAAATCTCTGTGATGCTGAAGGCGTCCAGGAGAAATAAGGACCCAAACCTGTCCTTCTAACCAGCTCACACTGCAAAAATCATATCTTACCAAGAGAAATCATCTTAAATCCAGTCTGAATATATAATATTTCTCATTCTGATGGTTGTTTGAACATTATAAGATTATAAAACCTTATTACTAGATGTTTTTTACTGGTTTAAAGCAGTTTTATCAAGTAAAATTATCTCACTATACTGGCAGATTATTCGGGTGGTTTCAACCACATTTCTTTAAACAAGCAAAATTATCTGCCAATATAGTGAGATAATTTTACTGAATAAAATTACTCAAAACAAGTAAAAAATCTCTAGAAATAAGTTAAATAATCTTATAAGTTTACAACAATCTTAAAATGAGGAATATTAGATTTACTGACTAGATTTAAGAGAATTTTACTTGACAATAAACCATTTTTTTAGATTAAGTGACCCTTATTAGTCCCACAACAGGGAAATTTCATCTCTGCGTTTAATCCATCCGTGCAGTGAAACACCACATACACACTAGTGAACACACACACTAGGGGGCAGTGAGCACACTTGCCCGGAGCGGTGGGCAGCCCTATCCACAGCGGCTGGGGGTTAGGTGTCTTGCTCAAGGGCACTTCAGTCACTTACTGACAGCTCAGGGGGATCAAACTGGCGACTTTCTGGTCAGAAGGCTGGTTCTCTAACCTCCAGCCCACAACTGCCCTAAAATTTTTGTATAATGTTTATTTGCATTTATTCTAATGTTACAATGATTAAAATATTACAGGCAAAAACATTGCTCAGATTTTGCCCAGATAAATGTGCAGTTAATTTGCTGTTCTGCTATATTTTGATACATTGATGTTTTCAATAATAAAAGTTTGGTTCCAATTTGGTTTCAGATAAATAAATGAAGGAGTGTAAACTGCGATCAGCAGCTCCCACCCGGCAGCTGTAAATGAAAATGAAATGTAGTGAGAATCAGAGCTGAGGCAGATTCTGAACTGACTCAGAAAACTGCAGAACATCTAGAATGAAGTTCTAATGAAAATACATCATATTTCAAAAGCGGAGATGAAATCAAGGCAGATAACTTGAAAAAAAAAATGAATGTAAATAGATCAGTACAGTCTATTTATCATTTTATTCACATGTTGTTCACATAATTCCTCAAATGTACTGAATGAAATTTACGTACATCATTAAAGAAAACCTACGCTGGATAAATTACTGTTGGATAAATACTGTTGCTGCTAAAAATTTTATTTGCATATATACTGTATAAATATATAGGTATCAGTTAATTGATGCAGTTTGAAGACTTATCAATGTAAGTTAACGTACAAGGTGCTAATGGGCAGTAGAGCTGTCACTAAATATACATTATTAATCATGTAGTATATGTATCTTTATATTATATACATAAACAGGCTGGACACCAGCATCTCCTTGTGGCAGTGTACAATGTACAGTGTATATCTAAAAATACCTTTCGGTGAATAGTTTGTCATATTTAAATACAAATAATGAAAATTATCAACATGGCAAGTGATTCCACATCTTTGAACGGTGGTGTATATATACTTATATCAGCGCTACGTGTTTTATTACTAATAAGACTGTTGCATTAATGCTAAAAATTAATTAACTATGCTTTACACATTTTGTATTTTTCCTGCTCTTTGGCAGCTCAGAGAGTTTATATGATGACCTGCCGGGTGCGATGAGGAGTGTTAGAGCAGCACACACTGGCCAAGACTGTAGAATCGGATATAAACAGCTTGTTTTGACTATTTCGTCTAAGATAACAGATTAATTTCAGTATAAAATCAGACGAACGTCAGTACTGTCCTGTTTAACAGACGCTCTGGTTCTCTGAAAACAGCTGAAAAGTAATGAGCAGTAACAGAACAAGGCAGACGAGTCGCTCTAATGGAGCCACAGACCGGATTCTGTGTGGAGTGGATTCCTTTTATGGGCTTGTTTTGCTGTAAACACTGCGTTTATTCATTTTTCCCACCGGATAAAAATAACACACATGACTTCCATCTGCTTTTATGACCTTATTTCAGAAAGATCACTGCCACCAGTAGATGCCAGCGTCCGGCCCGTTTATGCCCTGTTTTCTTATGAAGTAAACAGGGTAGCATGTTAGCTGGGCGTGACTGGGCGCCTGCTCTTTTCCCCTGGCTCATCAATGATTCTACTATTGATATAATTTAATAAATATATTTAAGCAGTTATGAGTTTAAATGACAATATGAGCAAAACTTGTATTATTCTACTGAACTGGTTTAAACACATTCCGGACTTTTCACTGATCTTAGACTTCAGACTAAACTCCTTTTGCTCTGAGAGACTCTAAACCATAATTATTAATGATTATATTATTAAAACTAATTATTAAACACTCCATTTTGTCTCTACCTAAACAGTCATAACTCTACCGAACTGTACCAGATGTTTCAGTAGTGACTGTTTCGGTGACCATTTTAGCTCATTTTGTGCTCAGAAACTCAGCAAACACAGCTTTGAACAGCTGTTCACACAGAAAATCATCATATTTTACATTAAAACACTAAAAAGTGCTGAACTGCAGAAAATATGACGATTCTTAGTGTTCCACACTGATTTTCAGACTTTGGGACACATTTACTTCAAAACAATGGGATCTAACTGCTCACCATGTGGCCATGAGGGACAGGGATGCAGCCCCACTTCCTGCTCTAAAATGCAGGGGTGTGGCTAAAATAAGGCCCCACCCACCGACTAAAAAGCTGTGTTTCGGTAGGGACATGAAAACGTGGGACAGTATTTTTTGAATAAAGATTTTTATGTAAAAATTAAGCTCATGATAAATCTTGTCCATTGAACTACACTTTAAATATGTTTATATGTATAAATAAAAAAATACTAGAAAATGTAATAATTATTTTTAGGGGTCAGGCTTTGGCACAAACACCTCCCAACAGAAAATACCCTATAAATGATGATTTTGTGTGTATATGTATACAAATATATATTTCTATAAATACTTTGGTTTTATATAGATCATAACAATCTTTATAAATATCTAAAGTTTGAATACTTAATTGTTTTTCTCAGTATGAGCACAGTTTTAACTCATCAGTAGAGTGGTCTGTATAAGCTAAATGCAAGTAAGCCCACCTTCACCCCCCTTTGCTGTCTGAATGAAGCAGAGCGCACAGATTGAGTGACTGACTAAGCTTTAATTACTTACATGTGTCTATGATATGTTAGACATCTCACTAAACACTGTGTGTTGGATTTTAATATCTAACAACATTTATCTTAAATGGCTTTAAATTAATAATCATAGTTTCTCCTATTACTGTTACTCTTCATCACCTGTCTGTAAAGCACTTTGAGCTGCAACTGGTATGAAAAGTGCTTTATAAATTAAGATATTATTATTATTATTATTATTATTACAGCTTAGTTTTATAAATAACTCTAGGAAGGGGAGCTCCCATAGAATTTCATTAGATTTCAGTTCAGACAGCCCACACTGAGCTGTTCATGTTTCCTCATCATCTCAGTGTGCCAGTAACGTTACGTGGTGTTTTTATGGTCATTTCAAGGAACAATTCAGTGTTTTTCGACCAACAGCGCCTGGTCAAATGACATGTTTTGTTGATTTTCTTAGTGAAAGTAAGTTAACGCATCTTCAACAGAGAACTCAATTAAATATGACGTTTTTCCACAAACTTTAGTGCACAATTTCTGCTTATTTGCTGAGTTTAACACGTTGGGTACAAATAAAACCTGCCATAACTTTTGAACACCAGGCTACAAATTACATTTTATTTTTTCCCAGTGTGTTAAATTCAGTAAATAAACAATAATTGAGCATTAAAATGTGCAGTAGTGTGTCTCTGTAGAGGACGTGTAACTAATTTACACTCAGAACATCAACACAAGTCATTACACCAGGGGTGCACAAACTTTTGGGGAAAAAAAAAAGTTGCCACAAACGGTTCTTTTTGTGACGCCATTAGAAAAAAAACCCGTTTTGCTCCATGAAGGCCGTGTATAAGAGCTCTCTACCAGTCAGGGTTCAGAACATTGTGTGGAGGTTCTTTAAACCTTTAAAAAGGAGGTTCTTCAGGCTCTCACAAATGGTTCTCTGAAGAACTACCTGTCAAGTTTTTTAGGGAACTAAAAGTGGTTGTTCTGTGGCACCGCCCCAAAAGAACCTTTATAGACACCTTTATTTTTAAGAGTGTAGCATCCTATTAAGCCTACAGCAGTTTAGCTCCGCCCACTCACACTAAAGCTATATTAAGTGGTTTGGCAAGAACAGAGCTCATTTGCATATATCAGTCTTAAAGGCACAGTTTAATTCTGAGGGAGAACGAGAGGCTGGAAAGTGGTTCAGTCAAAATCAGCTGATTTCTGAAATATAAAATCACACAAGCGTTATAAGTGGACCCCTGTAACTCCGCCCATCTGCACTACAGGTTTTATTAGCTTCTGTTAGAAAGGTATTTGTCGTATCTGTATGTGACGCCGGCCGACAGCCAGCTCTCAAACCGGAGCGCCAGTCAAATGCAGCTGCGAGCTCTAATCCAGAAATAGAACTAGATCAGTGCCTACGGCCTCCAGCCCACGTTTACAGGGCTGCCCTGAAAGCCTTCAGCAGGGAGATGAGCGCACGGCGAGCGAGAGGGTGGAGGGAGAGTGCGTATCTCTTACCCAGGACACAGGGCAGAGCGATTTGTAGACTCTTTTGTACCAGTCACAGGGAGCCACGTCCACCCCTTTGGCCTCCAGCGCTTTCTGGCAGCGATGATAATCTGTAAAAATAAATTACACAGATAATTTAACTCTGCAGACCCTCTGAGAGGTGGGGGGGAGTCTGGATACAAAAGAGGAACCTCAGGCATGGAGCCGCCTCAAACACTCTCACATGGGCGAAAGCCTGAGGCCATTTAAAGTGACAATTTAGTAAACAATCCAATTTACCCCCCCATTTAGACCAAACGCTCGCTTCGTCTGACAGTCTAATGCAGAAAACAAGTAACAGAGGCTTAGACTGAACATCTGACCAATTAGCATCACAGCATCAATTAGCATCACAGGCTTATACCCCACCAATTAGCATCACAGTACAAGCTTACACCCCACCAATTAGCATCTTTGTACAAGCATATACCCCACCAATTAGCATCATGGTACAGCTTATATCCCACCAATTAGCATCATGGTACAAGCATATACCCCACCAATTAGCATCATGGTACAAGCTTATACCCCACCAATTAGCATCATGGTACAAGCTTATACCCCACCAATTAGCATCATAGTACAAGCTTATACCCCACCAATTAGCATCATGGTACAAGCTTATATTGCACCAATTAGCATCATGGTACAAGCCTATACCGCACCAATTAGCATCATGGTACAAGCTTATAACGCACCAATTAGCATCATGGTACAAGCATATACCTCACCAATTAGCATCACGGTACAAGCATATACCCCACCAATTAGCATCATGGTACAAGCTTATATTGCACCAATTAGCATCATGGTACAAGCATATACCTCACCAATTAGCATCATGGTACAAGCTTATACCCCACCAGTTAGCATTCCGTTACAAGGCTAACGTTGCTAACATGTAATAGAAGCTTTTACCCCACCGATTAGGCCGAGTGTGGTGGACCAGCTGAGGCGTGTTTGGTGTCTGGAGTTTATTTCTTTAGTTTTTCTAAGTGTTTGTGAGACAAAATCTGCTGGTTGCTGCTCTTTTTCATGAAATGAGGCAGACGACCTGTGTGAGTGACCAGCCGCTGTTCCTCTACATCATTAGAGCCGGACTGCACAGCTCTGAACGGAGTTACAGCAGCAATTAATTACATTTAGCTCACAATTCATTGGCTGACTCAAGCCCCGCCCACGGCATCTGCTATTGGCTGATGCAGGGATACACTCTGTTTAGGGGAATCTTCACACACATTCTTCCGTTGGTGTCTGTTATCCAGAAACATGGACAAAGAACCTTCTGCATGATTAGATGTTTTTTGGATGTTAACATGGTTCTATAGATTGATGGACAATGTGTTGCATATGGCTCTATGTTCAGTAAGGGTTCTGCTGTTGTTATGATGTCAAGCTTGTTACAATAGAACCCCTTTGGTGCTCTATAGAACCAACACATTCTCCACCAATCTGAAGAACCATTTCACAATGCAAAAAACCATTTAAGCAGGCAAAGGGTTCTTTGAGTGTTCATGGTTCTATATAGAACCATTGTCTTTGCTAAAGAACCCTGGAAGAACCACCTTTTTTATGTATGTAGCAGGCAGAAGTACACAAACCATGTTCTTGAGTTAAAGTAGAGACACCCGAGGTAAAATATTACTCCAGTTAAAGCAGAAGTTCCTCCCTTTAGACCTCCTCTTGAGTAAAAGTACTAAAGTATTCACCTTCAAATGTACTTAAGTATCGAAAGTAAAAGTACTAAAAGATTAATTATGACTCCTATTATCATTTTTATAACAAGACTCGCTTCATTAACTCATTTTAGGTGAAAATACTCCAGTGTCTCTCTTGGTACCAATATTTTAATAGAATGTCATTAATTAGTGACGCTGATGTCTATTAAAATTATCAAAAGCATTGATGATTGGTGTTCTTGATTCGCGCTACTTTCGTTTTGACGTTACGTTTTTATACACACATAAACCAAAAGGAACGACAGATTTCTCATAATGTAGTGGAGTAAAAAATAAGATATTTGACTTTGAAATGTCGTGGAGTGAAAGTAAAAAGTCACCCAAAATGGAAAAACTTCAGTAAAGATACACGAAAAAACTACTCAAGTACAGAAACGAATTACATTTACTGAGTTACTCTCCACCACTGGTAGCAGGTAACGTGTCTTTTTTTTGTAAACTCTAGACACTGCAGGGGGAAAATTGTGTGAAAACTTTGTAAATTTTATTTTTCCTGAACTGCCCCTTCAATTCCACGTTAAAGGTGATGGTGTTAAAGCCATTCACTGACGCACAGACGCTTCGGTTCAGTTCGGTTCAGCCTGATAACAAAGTGACATTTGACTTTAATTCAGTGTTATTCAATCCTGAACCTGTACCGACCCAGATAGTTCTGCCAGCAGTTCCTGGTCTGGTTCTGGTTGGGGAAGCGGGCGTCGAAGGGCGCCGTGCGGTACTTCTGCAGCTTCTCCTGGATGTCCTCCGCCATCACCTGCACGGACACAGCGCCGAGCCAGAGAGGTGAGAATTAATACACTCACGTTTCACGTTATTTCATCAGCATCAGCATTCGGGCACAGCATGTTACCAACAGGCATTCAGAGACAACCAAAACATGGTTCTTCAAGGGTTCTTTAGTGAAGGGAACCATAAGTTCTACATAGAACCATTAGCATGATCAAATGGTTCTTCTATATGGTGAAATGGTTCTTCAGATTGATGGAGAAATATGTTGTAGATGGTTCTATATAGAACCTTCTTGAAAATTGTTCTCTATAGCACCAAAAAGAGTTCCTCTACTGTTACAAGCTTAACATCGGAACAATAGCAGAACCCCTTTTTGGTGCTATAGAGAACCATATGCAACACATTCTCCATCAATCTGAAGAACCATTTCACGATGCAAAGGACCTTCTAAGCATGCAAATGGTTCTCTGAGTGTTCATCATTCTAAATAGAACCATTTTCTTTACTAAAGAACCCTAGAAGGACCATCTTTTTTAAGAGCATATATAAATACACCCACGACTGTTCAGAGTTCAGAGTGGCTGTTTTCAGTAATGTAGCCCCAGTTCTGACGCAGCCCTGATGAAAAAGATCTACTGATACTGCAGGAATTTCACCAGCAGGGCTGCCCAGTGTGGCCTGCCAGAGGGTCTGACCCTCCACCCAGTGAAGGAACAAACATAGTTTATACTATACATCATTTATTAAACTTATTAACTATATATAACTTATTCAGTTCTGATTTTCCATTTAAATGTGCACTTATGCATTCAGTACTTCAGCAAAAAATATAGTGTAATGTCATTAAATATTTTTTTATTCCAAATCTATCTACACTGTTCTCATAGTAATCTATATTAGTCGCGTCCTGTCATGTACTAGAGCCAGTTCTGAATTCACTGTAAGAACCTCAATGATCTATAATACTCTGTACTGTCCTGTACTAAACTATACTAAATTTATGGATTAATTATAAGATTCTCACAGTAATCAATAATTCTCATGTACTGGTTACTATCGTACCCGATAAATAATAGTAAGTATACTGTCCTGTAAACTACAGTAAACTTCTAAATTCACTATAAGACTCTTACAGTAATCTACAATACTTGTGTAGTATCCTGTACTAAACTACAGTACATTTCTAAATTCACTAATACTCTGTACTGTCCTGTACTGAACTATAGTAACTGTCTGAGTTTACTCTAATACTCTTATAGTAATCTATAATACTCAGTACTGTCCTGTACTAAACTATAGTAACTGTCTGAGTTTACTCTAATACTCTTATAGTAATCTATAATACTCCGTACTGTCCTGTACTGAACTATAGTAAATGTCTGAGTTTACTCTAATACTCTTATAGTAATCTATAATACTCCGTACTGTCCTGTCCTGAACTATAGTAACTGTCTGAGTTTACTCTAATACTCTTATAGTAATCTATAATACTCAGTACTGTCCTGTCCTGAACTATAGTAACTGTCTGAGTTTACTCTAATACTCTTATAGTAATCTATAATACTCAGTACTGTCCTGTACTAAACTATAGTAACTGACTGAATTTACTCTAATACTCTTACCGTAATCTATAATACTCAGTACTGTCCTGTACTAAACTATAGTAACTGTCTGAATTTACTCTAATACTCTTACAGTAATCTATAATACTCTGTACTGTCCTGTACTGAACTATGGTAACTGAGTTTACAATAAGATTCCTGTAGAAATTCCTGCAATATTACTCCTATAAGTTTTCCAGACGAGCAGGAATGAACTCAATACACGTTTCCACAGTTTACATACAGCCTCTCAGATACAACCCTGACTTCCTTGTGGCTGGAATGGACTTTCAGGTCAGCGGCAGGTCAAGCTGGACATTGTACTTGACATGACCACATACCAGCACACATACACACACATATACACACACAGTGACCAGGATAAGCAGGGACCAGGACAAACCAGCCCTCCGCCTACAGACTTGGACTTAAATGAGAGACTAACAGCGTTAGCTTCAGCCTGAGGCTAATACAGTGTCCTTTTCCACCTTAGAGGGCAGATATCTCTACACTGATGACCTTTCCAGGTGTACTGGGCCAAATTCCCACACTAGCAGTGGATTAAAGAGCACAGAGAGTGAAAGTGAGAGAAATAAAGAGAAAAGAGGACAAACGGAGGCCTCCCGCCGGCTGATAAGAGGCCTGAAGGTCAAAGCCTACAGAAATGCCATTCACAGAATGGGCTGTGACGTCACTGTTCATATTCATATTCCAATAGTGTAAATTTTGTTTATTTTTTTGAGCTGCTGAGCATTTTTTTCTTTCCTAAAAAGGGTTTAAGAAACAAAGAGGCTCAGTAAGAAGGCACTGTTGGTTAACAGCTGTCATTTCCTCATTCAGTTTCAGTTCATTCAACGCAATGCGGCAGCTGAGAGAGCAAAATCAATCATTAAAGGCAGAAATATGATGGGAAAACATGAAAGTCAGAGCGATGGAGGGATGATTAGGCGGAATGGGGACGCATTAATCCCCTTTTCCTTACCTTTTTAGTTGCAGGCACCACGAGTTGGACAGTGACTTCTGCGCGCGGTCGCTGATAGCGCTGGATTGCAGTGTGTGTGTGTGTGTGTGTGTGTGTGTGTGAGAAGGGAGGGGGGGGGGTGTGTGTGTGGCGTGCAGAGCTGTCTAAACGGTATGGCGGACGCTGCAGGTCACATTGAGCATGCTTTCACTTTCCATGCATGTGGAGAGACTCGTATACTGTCGTGTAGGAGATGGGGCTTGTGTAGGGGGTCCGGAGGAAAAGAGAGAGAGAGAGAAATGAAGGGTGAAAATGGAAGAGTGTGAGGTGTGTTTGGTTGTTAGGCACCCTCCAGCACGTGCTCGCGTCATGACATCCGGGAAAAGCGAAATATGTGAGGCTGGAGTTGCGAACTTTTCGTTCCACCTTAAACGGTGCAGCAGTTACATTCTGACGCCTCAGGCGCCATCATCAGAACTGCTGCACCATTTAAGGTGGAACGGAAAGTTGTAATTTTCGGGGGAGGGATTAAAGCCGCTGCCAATACAGATGTGCAGTATTACTCTAGTACCAAAACAGCAGGTGCTAGAACCATTAAAGAACCCTGTTCTCCGTTACAGGGGAGTGTCTGCACTGAAATGCAGTGTTCGTAGTTCTGCATCCACTGTCTTTATTAGTCTGTTGTCCCTCGCGCCGCCGCGTGGGAGTGGCTCGTGTGTGGTAGGTGCTATAGGATGCAGCGCGTGAACGCGGGAGCAGGTTCACCTGCACGCGCACAAGGACCGCTTTAATCGGATTACGGTCGCACCCAAACAACAGCGTCAGAACCTGGAGAAGCGCGCGGACCGGCGAAGCTGCTAGCGCTGGTCTCGTGTCCGTTGCCCTAGCAACGCCGGTGTCTCGGTGGCGCCCGCGCTGCTGCGACTCCGATTACATTGCAGGAAAGACGAGGGCCATAATTAGCACCAGAGATATAGAAAGAGAGAGGTAGGGAGAGAGAAAGAGAGTACAGAGAAACGGGGAGAGAGAGAGAGAGGTAGGGAGAGAGTAAAGAGAGAGAGAGTACAGAGAAACGGAGAGAGAGAGAGAGAGAGAGAGAGAGAGAGAGAGGGTATCCTGGTTACCCAGTTAATGTTTAAATGAGGGCCGGTGAATCATTATAACAGCTAAAATCACAATTTTCGAGAAACAGCAGGAGATTATATTGTTTAAGCAGCTGAAGGTCGAATATACCCTTAAAAAGATGGTTCTTCAAGGGTTCTTTAGTAAAGGCAATGGTTCTATTTAGAACCATCAGTTGTACATAGAACCAAATGTGTTTGTTTACACCTGTAATAGTGTCAAACATACATGGAGATATATTACAAACTTGACACACACATATATATATATATATATATACACACCCCCATTTCCAAAAAAGGGCACTGAGGCATGTTTACCACTGTGTTTCACCACCTCTAGTTTTGGGTTCAGGGTCTCATTTGTCGTATTTTTCATTTCATAATGCGCCAAAGTGTTTTCAGTGGTGACAGGTCTGGACTGCAGGCAGGTCAGTTTAGCACCTGGACTCTTTTAATACGGAGCAATGCTGTTGTAATACATGCAGAATGTGGTTTTGACATTGTCTTGCTGAAATAATCAAGACCTTCCCTGAAAAAGACGTCGTCTGGATGGCAGCATATATTGCCAAAACATGTATATATCGTTCAGCATTAATGGTGCCTTCACAGATGTGCATGTCACCTATGCCATGTGCACTAATGCTCCCCTACACCATCATGAATACTGGCTTTTGAACTGAGCTCTGATAAGCTGGGTGGTCTTTAGCCCTGGAGGACACAGTGTCCATGATTTCCAAAAAGAATTTCCCATGTTGATTCGTCGGACCACAGGACACTTTCCCACTCCCTCTCATTCCATTTTAAATGAGCTCAGGCCCAGAGAAGGTGGCAGTGTTTCTGGATCCTGTTTATATTTGAGATCTGAGCCCATGCAGTGATTTCCACTACAGAATCATGTCTGTTTTTAATGCAGTGCTGCCTGAGGGCCCAAAGATCACGGCCAGCAAATACTGGTTTTACAGCCTTGTCCTTTACATACAGAGATTTCTCCAGATTCTCTGAATCTTTAAATGTTATTTTATACCGTAGATGATAAAAAAACAAAAGTTCTTTGCTGTTTTATGTTGAGAAACGTTATTCTTGAATTGTTGCACTATTTGATGGTGCAGTCTTTCACAGAGTGGTGAACCCCTCCTCATCTTTACTTCTGAAAGACTCCGCCTCTCTGAGATGCTCTTTATACCCAATCACGTTACTGACCTGTTGGCAATGAACCACCAGGTGTTTTTTTTTTTTAGCATTACACAACTTTACCAGCCTTTTGTTCCCCCGACCCAACTTTTTTGGAATGTGTTGCTGGCATCAAATTCAAAATGAGCAATTTTTTTTCAAATATTTCATTTTTACAGTTTCAACATTTGATATGTCGTCTTTGTACTATTTTCAATTAAATATAGGGTTTAAATGATTTGCACATCATTGCATTTTGTTTTATTTACATTATGCACAGCGTCCCAACTTTTTTGGAGATGGGATTGTGTATAAACGGCCCAAAATGATGTGGAAAAAAAGTCTGGTTCCACTGACTTACATTAAAGTATGTTTTTTCTTTCACCTGTAAAGTTACTATTTTGAAGATACAACGTTTTGATCCGACAGCAGCAGAAAACATTTTCAAAAATCCCAAATAAACAACCCAAAGGCCAATCAGTGAAATCAATCATGACTTTATTATATATTACATTCAATCATCATTTTACAGCGTTCAAAAATAGACTAAGAACCAGAAAAAAGAGAATCAAAAATAAAGTTCAGACCTGATCTACAGGCTCACGATATCAAACTCTGATAAATCAATATAGAATAAACCCAGAACAACAACACAGCAAACACACAACAGCCCTCAGAGCCCCTTCAGAGTAAAAGTGCTGATCCAGGATCAGACTGCAGCCTTTTGCTCACAGGAGCTGCTTTTGTCTCTTTTAGTGAGCCGAGCGATGTGAGTGGAGTCCAGATTAAACCGTTTTAAAGGAGCAATCCAGTGTTTTCCAACCGAATCTCTCTCTCTGCTGCGTCCACAGCTGATTACCATGGACAAGCATTTAGACACGCCTCCCTGTGCAGCCTAAACTCCTTTATAAGTGAAGCCAATAGGCAGGTGATCACTAGGGATGTGCACTCCGACTAATACTGATATTAGACGGAGAAGGGAAAACATAGGGGTGGGTAATATGACAATATATTGTTGCTTTTGGGACAAAACCTTGTATCTTCATTTTTGTTGTTTTTCCATTTTTTACTTAATTTTAAAAAGGTCAGCTGCCCTGTCAAACTTTCATGATGAATTGGACCAACAGAAATGGTCCACAATTACTTGGAAACAATTATTTGTCCATTTACTGTCATTTAAAGTTAACGTTTTTCCTTGTCCTGTAGAGTTACCTTTTTGGAGATACCAGGTTTTGTTCCAACAGCAGCGACATATCATTATTGTGATAAATTACATCATAATACAATACAGTATGCTTTTCTGAATATGTTGTGGATATCGTCAGATGTCTGAAAAAATAAATTGTGATATCGTGTATCGTGAAAATTTTTCTGAAGTATCGCAATATTATATTTTTGCCATATCGGCCACCTCTAGAAAAACAATAGCAAATGCACTACGGTCGAAAATAACGTAGGGCTGTAGGTTTACCTCTTTAGGTGGAAGTGCTGCTGCTGCATAAAAACAAAAACATGTTTTATTACTCAAAAACAGCTTTTCGTGCCAGATAAGCAGCAGAGGCTGCCTCTTCAGATGAGCTAACGAGCTAACAGAGCTAACTGCATCTTGTTGGATGCTGAGGACTCGTCGTCTTCTAGACGAGGTGTTGCTACTGCTATTGGTCAGAAGAATGTATTTTCACTGTTTCTGGACTAACATCAGCCTAATTAGCTATAAAGCTGCGCTGCCTCCTTAACCACGTACAGGCACTCGTGTTTTGGAGCAGCTATATTTAACATACTTTAGTGGTAAATAGGAACAAAACCATCATGTTTCACTGAATTGTTAGTGAGTTTTCTTTAAAAGAAAAGTTTTTAAAAGGATCCTTAGTAAAGCCAGTGGTACTTTTTAGAACCTTGAGTTCTATATACAACAATTTCATGCTTGAATGGTTCTTTGCAATGGTTAAAGGGTTCTTCAGATTGATAGAGAATGTGCTGTATATGGTTCTGTATAGCACCAAACAGGATTCTTATGTTGTTACAAGCTTGACATCCTAACAAAACCAGAACTGGTGCTGTACACAGCCATATACAACACACTCTCCATCAATCTGAAGAACCATTTCACTGTGCAAAGAACCATTTAAGCATGAAATGGTTCTATATAGAACTCGTGGTTCTAAATACAACCACTGAACCCCTTGAGGAACATTCTTTTTTAAGTGTGAACTCAAATGCAGTGATGTCAGTATTGGAATACTGGCACGTCAGCTAACGGTCAGCGGTGACCTCAGGTATCCGTGCACATCCCCAGTGCCCACTGTGTATTTTGAGTCAATGGGTTTTCAGTTCCGTGACTCAAAATACTTAGAACTCACTTCAGCCCTTTATTTTGAGTGTCTTTTGGCTTAAGTGGGCGGCTGGAGTCGGGGTTAAGCCCTTAAAATCCATGCTGGTTACATACTGGCTTATTATTCAGTACTTATAGGGACTTCAATGCAAACTGGCTGAGCTATTCTTGGATTATAGAAGTGTTTAATAAAACTTTAACTGTTTTAATGGATTTTTTCAAGCCAATTTCTGTCTGTTAGCTTGTGGTTGATGACCACAGGCAATCATTTCAACACAGCCATAACAGCACTGCGTTTCAGAGGGAACCAAAATTAGAGATTCGGCAGAAAAACACAGAATCTTTACCCCATAGTTCTTCAGCCCTAGATACTCGGCAACATGCACTCTTACTAAAGATGATTCTCTAAAGGTTCTTTAGTAAAGACGATGTTTCTATGTAGAACCATGAACACTCAAAGAACTATTTGCATGCTTAAAAGGTTCTTTGCATCATGAAAGGGGTTCTTCAGATTGTACATGGTTCTATATAGCACCAAACAGGGGTTTATATTGTTATAATGTCAAGCTTGTAACAGTGCAATGATGCGAAGAACCTTTTAAGCATGCAGATGGTTCTTTGAGTATGCATGGTTCTATGCAGAACCAACATCTTTACTAAAGAACCCTTGAAGAACCATCTATTTTAAGTGCAGGCTTTGGCCAAAGGCAAAGCTCCGGGTCTTTTCTCCAATGGCAGCTCCATTCTAGCCAACAGAACAGGATCTTGTTTGTGCAGGAAGTGGACGGCTGTTTTGGCCTCTGTGCTTGTGGACTTCGTCACTGATTAGGAGCTGGGTCAGTACAGAGCACCTGGAAGTACACAGACTGAGAAACCACCGTCCTCTTCCTGCTTAGATCTGCACATACGTCCTGTTTCCGTAGTCAAAAAATAGGTTCTCGTCCTAAAAAGCATTCCGTGCTGTTAGTCGTGATAGTGTTTGCATAGTCTACAGCGAGCTGAGGCTACTATGGTCAAGGTTAACTGAATGTAGCGCGCACTGCCACTCTTTGGTTCAACAAAATTGGAGATGAATGTTCCAATGATTTTTCTAAATTCCTGTATAATTAAACGACAGAGTGGTTCAGAGTGGTTTGGTGTGAAACGCTCTGTTCTAGAGAAACTTACAGAGTCAGAATTGTTCACAGTGGTGGTGATAGGAACCAGACGTCCACCTCTAAAAGCTCCCTCACAGAAAGTTCCTACATGAAATGGTTATGAATTCACTGCCTGATGACTGAGACACTGTTTTATGATAGTTTTGAGAAGGTTTAAGTCTAAAAGTTGTCTTTTTAAATACATTTATGGTGGAGGAGAACATGAAGGACGCTGTGAGGCAAAATAGTCCCCAAAAGAAAATTATTATTTCAGATTTTCCACTATTTTCCATCATCAACATTCCATATAAACTCAGAAGGCTCGTGTAGGTTCACTGGTGGTTCTGGATAGTAAATAAAATGGCTAAATTTGTGACCCCTGAGTTTGGAATGTTGTTGATGGAAAATAGTGGAAAATCTTTGGGCACTATTTTGCCTCACAGCGCCCTGCATGTATCCCTCCACCACGAATGGAATTTAAGTTCTGAAAACTATCATAAAACAGTGTCTCAGTCATCAGGCAGTGAATTCATAACCATGTCATGTAGGAACTTTCTGTGAGGGAGCTTTTAGAGGGGGACGTCTGGTTCCTATCACCACCACTGTGAACAGTTCTGACTCAGTAAGTTTCTCTAGAACGGAGTGTTTCACACCAAACCACTCTGAACGACTTTGTTCGCATTTTAACCACTGAATTATGCAGAAATTTTGAAAAACTGGTGGCATTCCCCCTTTTATGTCTGACCAACACTCAGTTTACATACAACCCAATTAATCAACATCATGGAACAACTGGAGCTCAAAGCCAAATGGATGAATGCTTATCCGTCTATCTTTCCCATCTGTGAGGACAGAACGTATTAAAGATTGTACTGCAGTGACAGACATGAGGATAACGGCCAAACAGCCTAGAGACTCTTTGCCTAACGCAATGAATACAGGGCTACATAAAGCAGAGTAGGCACTAACATACGGCGAAAGTTCGGCAAAAAAAAATAAAATGTGTAGTTGATCAGCTAAGACACGCAGTTAGCACCATGCTAATTGGTGGGGTATCAATTTCCATTACTCGTTAGCTACATTATCCTCGTTAGCTACATTATCCTCGTAAGCTAAAACAAACTTCAACTGATCAACTACACTGGAGTAAGAGAAGGGAGTTTTCGCCAAACTATCGCTTTAAACCCTGGACTCCAATAGGTCCCCATGGATTAGAGCTGGAACCACTGTAAGGCACTCAGTGCATCACAGCCTGAACAAGCAAACAGCAAAGCGAAGTGACTTTTTCACAGCACTGCGCTAACTAGGGCTGGGCAATATGACAATATATATCATAATCATGATCATTTATGTCACAATACAATACAGTATGCTTTCTGACCGTATCGTTGATATCATCAGTACTTGTAGACACTGACTAACTGCGTGTTTGATTATAAAGGATCAAAATTAGCCCCATTTAACTGGATTTAGTGCCAAATATTGAATAAAAATCATTGTGTTCTTTTTTCCTGTTCCAACTGATCACGTCTGAAATGAATAAATACCGTGAAATATTGTGTATCGTGAAAATTTCTTGTGGCACATCTGTTGTTGTTTCCAACCTGCCTTGTTTTCATAAGGGCGTAAAAAAGAAAATGTCTTGAAGTATCATGATATTTCTGCCATATCGCCCACCCTTAGAGCTAACTCTGGGCTAGCAGTTAAGCTAAAGCGATGCAAGCAAGGAGTCAGCACTTACTTGCTTCTACTTAGTTACACTGCTTTCACCTAAATATTACCTTAAATTGAGTTTGACACATAAATCCAGCATCCTAGAGTGAACACAGAACAACTTATTACCACAGGGCAGCTATGCTAACTACAAAAGACCCTGATTACGGGTTCAGCAGGAAAGAGAGGAGTTAAACCTGACAAGTCTCCAAGTGAACTAAGTGTATTTCAATGATATTCAGTAATTCAAACCACTGGTCTGTACTTAGAAGCCAAACTGGAGAGTGAATGGAGAGCCACTGTGTTAACTCTCACCCAACGTTAGCTAGAACCGAGTTAGCGTTAAGCTACATTGGTTTCAGCTAAATACAGCCAACTGAACTGACTGATAAGCTAATCTAGCACTGCAGTGTGGTCCTCCCACCAATGTCTAAAGGGTTTACCTCTAACATTTGGCTGTCGTGTGCCCTGAAAAATAGTGGAAATGGGATTTTTTTCCCCTCAGTAAAACACATTAGCACTGTTAGCGCTTAAAGCAAGCAGAGTCTCCTTTGTCTCGTAGCTCTTTAGCTCAGCCTCCAACTTTATAAACACAAAACAACAAAAACAAGTCAGCTCTGTCCAGCAACCGCAGCTCCAGCAGGCTTCAGAATAGGGTTTTCCCCTTTTTTAAAGAACCGTTATAATCTCTACCAAAGCCAACGAAAGTTGTGTGAAAGTGATGCTGAGTGGATTCGTCTGTGACTGGATGGCTGAAACCAGTCATAGCAAAACCCATGAAGAGGAAGAAAATCTTCATCACCTTCAATAGGCTACAGCAGATACACAAGAGCGAGCAATCAATCAATCAATCAATCAATCCATCAGACAAAAAGCTCGTAAATCCATCGTTCACCACTTCCAACAAAACCAAAAGCCCAATGCTTAGTAACAGGCCAGTGTTACTGGTTCTACAGGGCAGCCGGTAAAAATCCCAGTCAACCTGAAGGGGAACTGTAATGCACATCAGTTTTTTTGTGCAAACACTGAAATTTAGTGTTTTCAATTTCAAACGATATTTATTTCACATGTGGGTTGAAGTTCACACTGTTGGAACAGACTGAGTGAAGTTTTTTGTTGTGTAATCAAGCTAACGTTAGCACTGTAGCACATCTGTTGTTGTTTCCAATCTGCCTAATTTTCATAAGGGCTTTAAAAAAAGCGTAAAAAGCAGCGTACACTCCTAAAAATGATGATTCTTCAAGGGTTCCTTAGTAAAGACAATGATATAGAACCATTAACGATCAAAGACCCATTTACAACCTTAAATGGCTCTTTGCATGATAAAATGGTTCTTCAGACTGATGGACAAACGTGCTGTATATGGTTCTGGTGCTGTGTGGCATTGACATAAAAGAAGAACCCTTTTTGGTGCCATAGAGAACGATATACAACACGTTCTCCATGTGTAGTAATTTAAACTGGAAAATGTAGGTATTGTGATATAAACTGAGTCTGTTCTACAGTTTCTCATTAGGCTGAATGAATAACTGACTCTAAATGTAGGTATTGTGATATAAACTGAGTCTGTTCTACAGTTTCTCATTAGGCTGAATGAATAACTGACTCTAAATGTAGGTATTGTGATATAAACTGAGTCTGTTCTACAGTTTCTCATTAGGCTGAATGAATAACTGACTCTAAATGTAGGTATTGTGATATAAACTGAGTCTGTTCTACAGTTTCTCATTAGGCTGAATGAATAACCGACTCTAAATGTAGGTATTGTGATATAAACTGAGTCTGTTCTACAGTTTCTCGTTAGGCTGAATGAATAACCGACTCTAAATGTAGGTATTGTGATATAAACTGAGTCTGTTCTACAGTTTCTCATTAGGCTGAATGAATAACCGACTCTAAATGTAGGTATTGTGATATAAACTGAGTCTGTTCTACAGTTTCTCATTAGGCTGAATGAATAACTGACTCTAAATGTAGGTATTGTGATATAAACTCATTCTCGTTAGGTTGAATGGGATTTTGACCAAACTAGCAACAGTAGCTATGAAACAACACATTTGTGGGCGGAGCTTGGACAGTTCAATTACAGTGCATTCATCCATAATTACAATAAATCAATCATTCTGCATCTCAACAAACTCAAGAAAAAGATCAATATTAAACACTCGGCTTTGGTACTGGTGGTCCACGAAGCAATTTAAAGACCCTACAGACCATGTGGGTATGTGTGATAGTGACACAGTGCTGCCCTCTAGTGTTTCTTTTGAGAAAAAACCTTTCAAAAAATTAAAAACTTCAGAAAAAGGCACAGAACTAAACAGCCTGAGAGAGAAATACATGATAACAGCAAAGGTCCCACTGTAAACTATATAGCCCCAGTATCTGTGACTATACTGGATACAAGAGTTTATATATGAACAACAGATTGTAACTACAATGCTTTGCACCTGTTTTTTCCCCTAACACAGGTGTTGCTTAATAATAAAAAAAAATAACTGGCATCAAGGTCACCCAATAAAGTGCTAAAAGCGTTTTTATATATTAGAAATATATTTATAACATTTTTTTTTCCTTTTATTCATCATTTATTTCCCACCATAAATTCTAAACTCGTTTAATACATTATACATTCCAATTATTTTTTTTCTCTTCTTTGGAGCTGAAGTTTATGATCGTCGTGTCTGGATCATGCAGCATTCCATAAAAGGCACTTTGCACAGGAGTAAACTACGCATTCCTCCCTGCAAAATAACAGCATTCTGACTCTGTGCGTCACTACAGACTCTGATTGGAGTGCAGGGACCAGGATTTAGTGTATAAATGTTAAAGTCACCACCAAACTTGTGTAGTGTTGTTTTGCACTGCTCATCTAAACGGAAAGCTCAAGTCAGGAGTAGCTTTACAACAGAAAACAATCATGAAAAATGTAAATACTGAATGTTTTAGTGAATATATTGTTATTTTAAGGGGTTCTGTTAAAACGGCAGACATTCCTGCTTGAAATTTTAACGCGATATTTTTTTTTAGAGCAAAAAAGAAAGAAAAAATCCCCTTATCCCAAACGCAGTCTATAAAAATGAACAAAAGTGTGAAAAAAAAGGGCATCTTGAAGCCTAAATTTGTATTTTTCCCCTTTTTTTTCCATTTTTTTCAACAATCAATGCTATTTTAGATTACAGCAACTCAACATGATTTGAGGCGAGTACGTGATGATTTAGGCGCCATGCTAATTGGTGGGATATAAGCTTCCATTACTCGTTAGCTACATTAGCCTCATAGCTCCTGTGTTAAAACTAAAGAAGCAAACTTCAGACACCAAACACGTCTCGGTTTGATGGACTACCTCTGGAATAAGCAGGGGAACTTAGGTTTTAGCCAAACTATCGCTCTAATATGCTAATACGGAACTGGATTAGCGCTGCGGATGGAGGGAGTTTATTGGGCTCAGGAGTTACTTGATCTCATCACTGAATCTCAGCCTATGAAACGCCTCCTTCACTGACTCCTCCTTATCTCTGGGGATGGGCTCGCCCTCTGCCTTGCCCACTCCCAGCACGCTGCTCTCCTCCACGTCGTCCTTTATCTTCCGCTTCGTCAGCACCACAGGCCCCGCCCCTGCAAGCCCCGCCTCTTCCATCTGTGCACCTTCAGCGCCGCTCAGGACAAGGTAGCAGGCATGGCGACCACGCTCCAACAGAACCGCTGGGGGGGAAAAAAAATAAAATAAATAAATAAATATTATGACAGTTACAGACTGTAGTCCATCTGTTTCTCTGCATACTTTGTTAGCCCCCTTTTACCCTGTTCTTCAGTGGTCAGGACCCCCATGGACCCTCACAGAGCAGGTACTATTTGGGTGGTGGATCATTCTCAGCACTGCAGTAACACTGACGTGGTGGTGGTGTGTTAGTGTGTGCTGCTTTAACATGGTTTAATTTTTTAATCTTCTAAAATAAGGAGAACTCTTTGGGAAGTGAAAGTCTTTGGGAAGTGAAAGTCTTTGGGAAGTGAAAGTCTTTGGGAAGTGAAAGTCTTTGGGAAGTGTGTGTACCAAAAACTAAGGAGGAAACAGAAAATGTACATTGTGTCATTACCTTAAAATCGAAAGGCAAGCTAAATCAAAAATCTTTTGAATCTTTACAGCCCTGGTATATAATATGTGGGTGGGGTGGAGTTACACTACCTTTAAACGACCTTATGTGCTGTGTGGGATTTCTTCTCTCCAGCAGAACCTGAGGGTGATGAGGGTGCAGCAGGTATGAGGAATGTTCCTCAACAGCAGAGCTCTACATACACAAAAACACCACATTTTACTCCACAGTGTCGAGCATTTCTACAGAATAAACAGCATCAGCTGTGAGTGTTCGCACTGCCTCACTGCTGTCTGTGTGTTCTCACTGCCTCACTGCTGTCTGTGTGTTCGCACTGCCTCACTGCTGTCTGTGTGTTCTCACTGCCTCACTGCTGTCTGTGTGTTCGCACTGCCTCACTGCTGTCTGTGTGTTCTCACTGCCTCACTGCTGTCTGTGTGTTTGCACTGCCTCACTGCTGTCTGTGTGTTCGCACTGCCTCACTGCTGTCTGTGTGTTCGCACTGCCTCACTGCTGTCTGTGT